GTGGGAATTGGGGAATGTGGGAATTGGGGAATGTGAGAATTAGGCAATGTGGAATTGGGGAATGTGAGAATTGAGAAATGTGAAATTGGATTACATGGAATTGGGGAATATGGGAATTGGGAAATATGAAAATTAGGGAATGTAGAATTAGAGAATGTGGAATTGGTGAATGTAAAATTGGAGAATATGTGAGTTGGCAAACTTAGTGACTCAACAGCTCTGATAATTTATATATCTGAAAGAATGCAATATTTTCAAAACTTCTATTCCTCCTCCCAAAAGTGCCAATATTTGTCGAAAACATTAAACAAAAACTCAGACGTCATAAAGCAATAAAAAATTCTACGCATCCAGGTATTACCCTAATCAATGATTTATAATGATAATTCCCTAAAGCCATCCCAAACGAGATAAGTCAGAATTCACTCTGGATGCAATTAATTTGACGAGCCTCTTCCACACGTCCGATAAGCAGATAAAAGTGAAGGATCACGATGGCGATTCCACTAGAAGGATAAGCTGTTGCAGTTGCGAAATTAATGTTGCTTGATGATTCGAAACGCGAACACAGGCTTTCCCTTAGGGATTCCTGTTAGTCTAGGGATTTCATTGCTGTTAGAATGTCGGAAACGACCGATTAGAGGCGCGTTTCGAGGCTCGCGCATGCAACCAATTAGCTTCTGCTTCGCGGTTAACGCTGAAATCTACTTCGAACCGGTTGAAATTAAGTCCGCCACTTTCCTACAGGGAATATTCGGGCCACGATGACGAAACCACTTTTCCATCGACAACGCTTGGATAACAGATTTCGAACTTGAGATTAATCCCTCGATTTCTAATGATGATAACTTATCTGACGAGGTCTTTATTTTTACTCTTATGATGATTTTTATTGTGAGTTTATAAGGAAATTTATTTTGAGACTGATGTGAAGTGTTCTTGATAATGCAATTTGTTGTTGAGTACTTCATGGATACTGGTTATGTAGAGTTAGATATGTAGTTTCAGGTATTTTGAGGAAAGCTAACAAGTCGACTGTCATGGACAGAGTTAAGTCCATTAAGACAGAGTTAATATTTTAGTAAACGAACTTAGGTATTTTTAAGTACTGCATATAGGTTTCAGAATTAGTAGGTACCTACTTTAAGCGATGTTACGTTACCTTGAGTAGCCGAAATGAAACCTTAAGTTCATCAAACTTAAGTTAAGTCCTTAAATCCTTACTGCTACTCAGTACTCACTGTAAGCTACTTTAAGTACATTTGAATACTGCAGACTAATTTGTGCATTCTCAAGTTTGAACTAATTTAAGTAGACTTAAGTATTCTCCAGTCATTTCAGCTTGTATTCATAAGTTCTAGTGTCATTACATTTTGCTACTCTCATAAGTCTTCTTGTTATCAAGTTTTACTATTCTCTTAAGTCAACATGTCTTTAAACTTTGCTACTCTCATAAGTTTCCTTGTTATCAAGTTTTACTACTCTCTTAAGTCAACATGTCTTTAAACTTTGCTACTCTCATAAGTTTCCTTGTTATCAAGTTTTACTACTCTCTTAAGTCAACATGTCTTTAAACTTTGCTACTCTCATAAGTTTCCTTGTTATCAAGTTTTACTACTCTCTTAAGTCAACATGTCTTTAAACTTTGCTACTCTCATAAGTTTCCTTGTTATCAAGTTTTACTACTCTCTTAAGTCAACATGTCTTTAAACTTTGCTACTCTCATAAGTTTCCTTGTTATCAAGTTTTACTACTCTCTTAAGTCAACATGTCTTTAAACTTTGCTACTCTCATAAGTTTCCTTGTTATCAAGTTTTACTACTCTCTTAAGTCAACATGTCTTTAAACTTTGCTACTCTCATAAGTTTCCTTGTTATCAAGTTTTATTATTCTCTTAAGTCAACATGTCTTTAAACTTTGCTACTCTCATAAGTCTTCTTGTTAACAAGTTTTGCTACTCTCTTAAGTCAACATGTCCTTAAAACTTGCTACTCTCATAAGTTTTCTTGTTATCAAGTTTTGCTACTCTCTTAAGTCAACATGTCCTTAAAACTTGCTACTCTCATAAGTTTTCTTGTTATCAAGTTTTGCTACTCTCTTAAGTCAACATGTCCTTAAAACTTGCTACTCTCATAAGTTTTCTTGTTATCAAGTTTTGCTACTCTCTTAAGTCAACATGTCCTTAAAACTTGCTACTCTCATAAGTTTTCTTGTTATCAAGTTTTGCTACTCTCTTAAGTCAACATGTCCTTAAAACTTGCTACTCTCATAAGTTTTCTTGTTATCAAGTTTTGCTACTCTCTTAAGTCAACATGTCCTTAAAACTTGCTACTCTCATAAGTTTTCTTGTTATCAAGTTTTGCTACTCTCTTAAGTCAACATGTCCTTAAAACTTGCTACTCTCATAAGTTTTCTTGTTATCAAGTTTTGCTACTCTCTTAAGTCAACATGTCCTTAAAACTTGCTACTCTCATAAATTTTCTTATTAACAAT